TCACTCTGTCTCCCAGGCTGGAGTGCAATGGCACACTCATGGCCACCGCAGCCTCAACCTGCTGGAGTCAGGTGACCCTTCCACCTCAGCCTCTCAAGTAGTTGGAACTACAGGCATGTGCCACCACACTCAGCTAATTTTTAAAAATTTATTGATTGTAGAGACAAAGTCTCGCCAAGTTGCTCAGGCTGGTCTTGAACCTGTGGGCTCAGGCAATCCTCTTGTCTCAGCCTCCCAAAGTGCTAGGATTATAGGCTTGAGCCACCACACCCGGCCCAGATCCTGTTTCTTTTTTTGAGTTGGAGTCTCACTCTGTCGCTCCCGGCCACCGCAGCCTCGACCCGCTGGGCTCCGGCGATCCTTCTGCCTCAGCCTTCCGAGTAGCCGGAATTACAGGCGCGCGCTACCACACCCGGCTGATTTTTTGATTTATTGTAGAGATGAGGTCTCGCCAAGTTGCCCAGGCCGTCCACGCCCCGTGTGATCCGGGCCGTCCACGCCCCGTGTGCGGTGGGCACCTCAGGGTGCTGGGACTTGGCGGGCAGGAGGTGAAGGCTGCCTCTCCGGCCTCCCCCAGCCTCTCTCCCCAAGGCACACCCACCCCGGGGGAGAGGCCCCTCTGGAGCGCCCCTGGCCATGGCCCTGCCGCCTCTCCCACCGGGTCCGTCCTCAGGGCCGTGGCCAAAGTCTGCCGAGGAATCCCTCTGTCCCCAAGCCACCAACTCCGCATCCGGCTCCGTGGGCGTTGGGACCGGGCTGTTCTCTGGGAGGCATCCCGGGCCCTGCAGGGTGTGAACGTCACCCTCTGCTCAATGCCAGGAGCGCTCCAGGCGTGACACCCACACACGTCCCCAGACACTGCCCAGGGATATCAGAATCACCCCTGAGTGAGATGCCCCTGGGTTAGGGGACTCCAGAGTCTTGTCCCAGGACCCTCTGTCCCAAGGAGGCCCAGGAGGCTGCACTCATGGACATCCCCCACCGAGGGGGAGGGGCAGAGAAGGTGAGTCCCGGCAGCTGGTTCTCCCAGTCTACACCGCCCGCCCCCTCGGGGTTGATTCTGGTGTCTGGGGTGAGTAGGGAGTGGACTTGATTTTTTTCCCAAATAATCAGCGCGGGGCAGGGTAGCCCCCTTGGCCCTGTGGATGTCGGGCTGGGCAGTTCTCTTGTGGGGGAAGTCATCCTGGGCCCTGCAGGGCATGAGCCGTGTCCCTGGCCTCTACCTGCTCCATGCCAGGTGCACCCCAGCCACAGCACCCACCCACGTCCCCAGACATCGCCCAGGGTCCCCTGGAGACAAAATCCCTCCCCTACTGCCATCCAGGACAACTTAAAGAGTGGATTTTTTTTTTTTGAGTCGGAGTCTCACTCTGTCACCCAGACTGGAGTGCAGTGGCCGCTTCCGGCCACCGCAGCCTCGAGCTGCTGAGCTCCAGCGATCCTTCCACCTCAGCCTTCCGAGTAGCTGAAACTACAGTCGTGTGCTACCACGCCCGGCTAATTTTTGATTTATTGTGGAGATGAGGTCTTGCCAAGTTGCCCGGGTGGGTCTTGAACCCATGGGCTCAGGCAATCCACTCACCTCGGCCTCCCAAACCACTGGGATTACAGGTTGAGCCACCGAGCCCAGCTAAAGAGTGAATTTTATTTATTTATTTATTTTTTGAGTCTCACTCTGTCACCCAGACTGGAGTTCAGTGGCCACCCCCGGTCACTGCAGCCTTGACCCGCTGGGCTCTGGCGATCCTTCCGCCTCAGCCTTCCGAGTAGCTGGAATTACAGGCGCGCGCTACCACACCTGGCTAATTTTTTTGATTTATTGTAGAGATGAGGTCTCGCTGCCCAGGCGGGTCTTGAACCCACAGCCTCAGGCCATCCACTCACCTCAGCCTCCCAAAGGCACGGGAGTACAGGCTGAGCCACCGAGCCTGGCAACAGTGTTTTCTTGATGTCCATAAATGTGCATTTGTGCACGTTTCCACGAGTCTCTTACACATACACATTTTGGGGGACTGGTGGGAACATTTTTTTTCAGGTGTCACATCATAAGCCACTTACCACCTCGCCATTATTATTATTATTCTTAGAGTCCAGGTCTCACTCTGTCACCCGGGCTGGAGTGCAGTGGCACAATCACGATGATCACAGTTCGTTGCAGCCTTGACCTCCTGGGCTCAGGTGACCCTCCTGTCTCAGCCTCCCAAGTAGCTGGGGCTACCCTGAGCGAATGTCCCCTGCTTTAGATCTGGGGTGACAGCAGCACCCCACTCCTGGTACTGATTTATGTATGGGTGAAAGTTACTCGGCAGCCCCTCGGGTCCCCTCCCGCTGTGGGAGCTTTTTTGTCCTCTCAATAAGTCCTGCTTTCTACAAAAAAAAAAAAAGAAGAGGAAAGAAAAAGAGAAAGTTACTGCCTCAAGGAGCCACAGGAGAACTCAGAGTCACCCAGGTGAAAGCGACCCGTCACCAAAGAGCCTCACACTCAAAGAGAGGCAGACGACAGTTTCGAGTTTTCTTTAATGGAAAAAGGGACAAAGCCCAACAAAAGTGTGGGTTGAACAGTCAGGCCACAAGGCAAGGACGAGCATCCCCGCGCCTCCCGCGTGCCCCAGGACACCCAGGATGGCCCCTCTGGGGGAGCGGCGGGAACAGAAGCGGAGCCTGGGTCCCCAGCTCCATCGTACAGGGGTCCACTCTGACCCTCGGGGGCACTAGATGCTCTGCAGCATGCAGAGGGCATGGTGGAGGCGCTGGCGGGTGGCCGGGGCGCAGCCGTGGCTCCGAAGGACGTCCAGGGAGCGGGAGGCATTGGCGTAGCCGGGCTCCCAGAGGGCCAGCCGCAGGGCCTCACCCTCGCCACTCAGCACCAGCTGGGCCTGGACACCACGGAAGCTGACCTGCCGCAGGGGGAGGCCCGAGGTGGGAGAGGCCGCCCCTGCCTCCGCCCCAGCCCTGGCCCCCAGGCGGCAAGGGGAGGGGACGCCTGACCTGGGCCTCCGTGCCGGCCCCACCCTTGCGAACGGTCATGGGCTCCCCACACCATCAGGGGAACTGAGAATCGGACGGGACCCCCACCCACAGTCTCCCAGCGAGATACCCCGCTGTTAACCCAGGGAGCCCCCTCACTGAACGCTGGCCTCCTCGGTGGTCAACAGGGTCACTTGAGGACAGGTTGGTCTGAGGGGAGACCCAAGCCGGGGGGGCGGGGGGACAGGCATGCCACTCTCAGCCGCGCACGGAGGTGTTTTCTTTTCTGTTTTGAGTCGGGGTCTCCCTCTGTGGCCCAGGCTGGAGTGCAGTGGCACAATCACAGCTCACCACAGCCTCGACCTCCAGGGCTCAGGCGATCCTCCCACCTCAGCTTCCCAAGTGGCTGGAAGCACAGGCACCCACCGCCATGCCCGGCTAATTTTTTGTATTTTTTGGGGGGTAGAGATGGGGTTTCACAACGTTGCCCAGGCAGGTCTCCCACTCCCAGCCTCAAGTGATCCTCCCACCTCAGCCTCCCAGAGTGCTGGGATGACCGGCGTGAAGTTAAAATCATGTCGTGTGCCGGGCTGGGTGGCTCAACCTGTCATCCCAGCACTTTGGGAGGCGGAGGCAAGTGGGTTGCCTGAGCCCGTGGGCTCCAGACCAGCCTGGGCAACTTGGTGAAACCTCATCTCTACAATACATTTTTTAAAAAAGCTTAACTGGGCGTGGTGGCACACGCCTGTAGTTCCGGCTCCTTGGAAGGCGGAGGCGGAAGGATCGCCGGAGCCCGGCAGGTCGAGGCTGCGGTGGCCGGGAGCGTGCCCCTGCCCTCCAGCCTGGGCGACAGAGTGAGACTCCGACTCAAAAACCAAAACAAAAAAAACCCAAAAAACATGTCATGCATTTCTGATGCCGCAGTCTTTGTACTTGGGAGCTAATGACTGTTTTTTTCAGGAGACACATGCTTCCAGGGGCTCACGGGAAGCCTTCTAGCCACCTGAGTGGACCGTGTCCCATTCCAACTGCTTGCTGCCTGATTTCGCCCGGCGCCTGATTTCATCCCACTCACCTGTACAGTTCCATCACTGAACAGCAGGAGCAAAGCCTGCTGGGAGGCCAGGAAGCGCAGCAGGCGGAGTCCGGAGCCGGCGGGGGCGGCGGGCTCGGGCAGGGGCCCCTCCTGCGGACAGACTTGCTGCGGCCTCAGGGTGGGCGTGTGCGCCCCCAGCCCGCCCCGCCCCTCCG